TAAATTTCTTTTGACCTGATTTGTATTTTTTTACATAATTACATATAGAGAAAAATATCTCTAATACGGAATGAGGAAATTAACATGCTATTCAATTGTAAAAAAAATTTCTATGAAAAGGCAATTATTTCTTATTTTTAGTGCTGTATTGTTTATCTGATGCTACTAATTAATTTCTGTACACTAAAATATTGTTTGTACATTTTTTCAAAATTTATTCACTATGGTAGTTTACTTATATACATGAAATTTCTTTCACTTTTTGTAATAAAGACTCTCTATTCTAAAGTTGAAAGCACACATCCAACTTACATATAATCAATGAAATGGTTTTATAAGGAACATATTAAAAAAGTAATTAGATTCTTTTGGTTCATACAATATGAATTTTTTATAATGTAAAAAATTATTTCTTGTAATAATTAGAAAATGATAATATCTGCAATATATAATATATATAATAGATATATATAAATAACACTATAACACAAGCAATCGTCTAGAAGATAGAAGATAATATGCATTATATTTTTTCAAATTTGTTTACAACTTGCGAATACTTCTCTTTTTTTAAATGATGTTCCAATGCATATTTTTATTTTTCTTCCACACAACTAATCTTCAACCATTTAAATGATGATTTAACTCTAAATTAGAAATTTTAAATTATTTTCATACTGGAATATGTCATGCATTTCTACTTTTCACTTTATTCAAATATCTTATTTTTCAAGATTAAAAATTCATATATCTGATGAATTGAAACTTATTTTGAAATTGTTCATAGTATCCAAGAATTTCTTGAATTCCACAATCCTCCAGGAGAAATTATTTTGGTCAAAAAAATATTTCAAATAATTTATGTGATTATCTGTTCATGAAAACCATCTCAAACCTATAAACTCAAAATATTGAGATTTTTATTGAAAATAGAAATTGAGTAGATTTTAAAACTAAATTGTTAAAGTTTTATAATTTAAGAGTATAATTTCAACATCTGATATGTAATTTAGAACAAAGAATATTTTTCCACCTAAATTTAATGAAATTTTATGTAATTAATAATATTTATTTCCTTTTAAAATCATTTTATGAATATTCTTCTACATTTTATATTCATTCAGGCTGTATATACACAACAGAAAAAAAATCACGTAAAGAATTCAAATCAAAATTTCTTCATGTTAAATAGATGAAATTAAACATATATCAAGAAGCAATTAATCTAAAGTCATCCAAGATGATCAAATTATTTAGATTCTTTGTACATGCATAACATTATTGCTCGAACTGCATAATTTGCTTCATCTGAGTTTGAAAATTCTGATAAATGATTAACGCATGATCATGTGTATCAAATGTATTTTTAAAAATGTGATAATTATAATTATATATATATCAAATTATTTGAATCTTATAAGTAATTTCAAAATGAGCGTAAAATTATTAATTTGATACATAAATTCCAAATACTAATGTTCATACAATGAAAATATGATCAGAACCAGCACTTTCACAAGTTGAAATTCAAATGTTTGAGATGAACTTAGATAGTTAACAAGTTAGTGTTTACACATATATGATTTACAATATTAGAATATAAAAATCAAATAAATTATAATTTTTTGTAAATGACATGATATGAATTTTTTCTGAATCAAATTACCTATGAATACTTGATAGATGATTTTTTCAAAAATTCTAAAAATCAAGTTAAAAAAAAGAATCAGAAAAGTTTTATTATTGTTTAACATGAATATTTTTCATTTTGATTAATTTTATAATATATTATCTCCTAAATATATAATTGATAATAATTTTTAATGTATCTGATGCATTATAAAAATCAAATGTAATGATAATTGTATTTCTTAGGATAATATTTATATAGAAAATAGTTTTACCGTAACTTACAGCAAAATTATTATGTAGTTGGCATCAATCAAACTTCTAAATTCCACTAATAATTTTCACATAAATACTTTCTACATTGACAGAAATCTACCTGCAGTTATTTAGATCAAAATAATGGATGAATATTTTTTTCTAATAATAAATTAATACGTAATTTATATTTACTATAGAATGTAAAATATTTAGGAAACAAGCTTGTAAATTCAAGAACTTATCAATTACCTATGAATTAACTTTTCAATCAACCTATCATTTTTACTTCACTGAGAACCTCATGCATCAATATTTTTCACATACAGGAAAGATATTATAGAAAAATTACATGAATTATTACAAATGATATCACAAAATTAATCTTAGGTATGTTATCATCACATGGAATTACCTTGTTTATAGTTTTGCAAGTCTTGTGATAGTCAAGATAAACAAGTACAATGATACTAATTCATTATAGATTAACTATTGCAAAGATTCAGCTAGAATTGAAGTCAAGTCATTTGTAAAAAAGTATATCTATGATAAAGTGTCACATATATCTTTATATTTATGAAATATTTTAATTTTTAATTTTATATTTAAATCAAGATGACACATTTAACATCATATATCAAACTTATTTTCTTATTCTTTTTTACAAAATTTGGATCCATCGATCTGAGATGATTAAATATTTTTAGAAATTTGCAAAATTTTAATTAATTTATGATAATATTAAAGTTTAATATTTAAGAAATATTTTTCTTGAGGCCTATCTTTCATAATAAAATAAATATATAATTTTATATGTCTCTGTTACAAATTCCAAATCCAACACTTTAAAAATATTTCGGATTTGTAATACTCTATTCTTTAGAAATTTAAGATATTATGATTTTTATTTTAAAAATGGTATTTTATTGAAAAATTATATTACAAATATATTAAAAAAATTACTAAAATGCTTTGCGCTGTACACAGAACTCATATTTCACTTCAAGATTTTCAACTTTATATATAGTATTACGATCAGCTCATATTGATAAAAATTCTAGAGAACAATTTGAAGCAACTTATAAGGATATTTATTTTACATTATTTTATTTTATTTTTAATGCATTATATATCGGATCAAATTTGAGATATTTTTCTAAAGAGAGGTTTTCAAAATGTCATTTATGCATGATACACTTTCAAACAAAGTTAGTGAAATTTCCTGCATCAGAAGTAAATTTCGAGTTATTTCAAAGATGCGTATATCTAACTAGCTTGTGTGTTTACTTCCTATTCAACTTGGCTACATTACTTTTTGGTGTAAATATTTCTTTTCTGAAAATGATAGTTTTCAATGGTGTAATCAACATATAAAATTTTCAATTTGTAAGATTTCTATCAAATTTACTTCACACAATCCATCATTAGACAAGTCACAAAGAAAACTTAATCAATAATAGAAAATTTTGCTGAGATTGAAAGACCTAACTAGGAGTTTCAATTTCGTGTGTTCTTGGACTCTTAAGGATAAGTGAAGGAAGATATACCTTGTTGCTTTTTCACAAAATAAATTACTTAATAGTTATAATCATGACTTATGTCTCATGGCTATATATTCATGTGCACGTGAAGTATAATAGATCTTGATGTCACCGCAGTTTGCACTAGGGCTCATAGGGTAGAGTCCAAATTACGGTTTCTGAGTGATGAGTTTTCGAAGTTGAGAGTTAGAGATTGAATTTGGTTATGGTGGAGAGTCGAGATCAACTTGGAGTTTTGAAGCACAAAGTCTGTTTTGCTAGATTGTAATATATTATTTTACGCTACGCTGATGATACATCAGCCCTGCCTGGTCGACGTTCTCAGATTCAAAAAGACTCCTTGGAAAACTGAACACTATTAGTAACTACAGTGTCACTCATGGTTGAAACTAGAATGAAGTTCATGTCGATGCTAGAGTGCCCGTGTGGAGGCACCGTTGGAAGAGGATAGAAATAATTAAAGTCACAATTCGCCCAAGGGTTAAGTCAATAATCTCCAAAGATAGGAGTGGATCAAATCCTCTCGATACTACTGGTGGAGAACCTATCTGCAGACGAATTGCATGCTAGTTGGTCGCAATTCTAGGTTACCGCCGATTGATACGACGGTGAATGGGCTTGCCATGGTGTTGTCCTATGGCGTACATGTGCCACTTACTTAGCAGTGCCTTCAAAGTAAATGACAGGCGACGAGAAGCCCACCGAAAAACAGTTGCGAACAGGGTCAGGAATCCAACTTTATGGGATGAAATGAAAAAAACAATAAAGAGTATTGCATTCTCTAGTTACTTTGTTTTGCACGGATGCTTGTCTCATGAATCTAAAAGTGTTGGGACCTCAGAGCGATCGTTGGAAAGAGAAGCACAGGCTTTGGTGTGTCTGCAGCTGCTGGAAAATTGACGGTCGATCGATGGTGCGCACATCGAGCGCAAGGTCAAATCCCCCCCATGCTCAGAAGATTCTGGAAATAGATCCGCAGTCCCACAATCGGGTCACAAGTCATGCAAGAGTATTGGGATGGGGACTTATCTAGATCGAGAGAGATACAAGGTAGAACCATGGATCGATCGATCGATATTTAGATAGAAAGATAGAAAGGGAACAGTTTACGCCAAGGTCCAGCTGATCACGATTTGTGAGCTAAACAGCAGTTTCAGATATCTGAAATACAAATCCCGGTGGGGATGTGTACCAGGACTCTGTAGCGTTTTTGCCTTGCATGGCAAGCAAGCCACAGCCGCAGTGACAACAACCACAGAGAGGGGCTAATCTAAGCCCAAGTGCCATCCATCACACTCAAGGGACAGTGGCGCTCCCGCTCGCGCTCCGGTCAGCTATGCTTGATTTGTTGCGTGAGTAGAGGAAGGGGAAGACGGATATACCAACCAACTGTGTAACTGCTCGATGCAAGAAACAGGAAAATGAATTGAACAACTTTTTGCTGGAAAAGATTTTCTGATTAGCAGCCGTGAGTGGATATTTTGAGAGGCGGAGTAGGGGTAGGAGGTGAGCAGTGATCGTATATTTGGGGATGTGAGCGAGCAAGGGAGGCAGGCAGGCTGGGAGGGAAGGAGGAAGCGAGCGAGCGAGCCAGGCAGCCACCCGAGCCATGTTATGTTGACGACGGGGAGTGAGGGTTTTGCATCTTGATTGGAAAGTCACAAGCACAAGATCTGCAAAGATTTGGGTGCATGTTTGGAGATGCACTGTTCAAGAGATCTGGCAAGATTTGTGCATGTTTGAAGGTTAACTTTTGTGCATGACAGACTGTTGCCATTTAAGCTGCTCCCCTCTGCTGCCCTCTCCTCTTGCTGCGCTTCTTCTACACCCCGGCCCCGCTGTGCTCCCTCCCTCCTTCCTCCCACCCCTCCCTGTGGCAAGGGGAAGGGCCATGGGTCAAAACTTTTACTGTGAGTTGAATACTTGGATCGTATGCTGCACGTTTCTTTTAATTCTTGGCGGAGGGAGGGAGGGAGGGGAGGAGGGGAGGAGGCAGGCAGGTAGGGAGGCCAGGCAGCGAGAGAGGGAGTGAATGGGGCGTGCTGAGACAAGGGTTCCGATGAAACGAATGACTGAAGGAACAAAAGAAGGAAAGAACGAAGGAAGTGGGCGGCATTACCTCCCCCACAAACACTCTCACAACCTGGACACTATCAAATTGTGCTCGCTCATTGGTTCCTTGTACAATGCGCGGAAAATTTTATTTGCTCGCTGTTTTCTTAGTTTTGGTTGGGGGTGCACTTGACTTCTGATTTCGTCCATGTGTTGACTTCAAATCATGATACAGGGGAGGACAAGGCACAGCACCAGGTGCCTCGTGTTTTCTGAAGACTAGTGAGAGTGGAGGACCCCAACCCCAGCAGCAGCTCCCGTGCCCAGTCATGCGTGCTTTGTGGCAACCACACTCTAGGGAAACGAAGACCAACGAGATCTTCGGCTTGCATCCTCATTCCAATTCTCCTCCGTTTTAATATTCCTCTACAGGTGATTCGATGGCCGTGGAAACTCTTGCTTCCTCGCATGACAAGCAGTGACAAGCGTTCCGCAAGGCTAAGGATGAGCTTAGCGTTGTTGAGCTCGTACGTATTGCATCGTGCTTGGCGAGTGTTCACTATGTGGCCAGCCTAGCACCGAACCATACAATCGCATCCATATTCCAGAGTCCCCCATTTGGGGCACACTGTCCTAAAGAGTGAAAAACCCTCGAGCACCATGGGAATCCTCCGGCTGATTGATGATGAGAAGATGCGTAGACGTCATTGAACGGACATGCTCTTCAGCTTCTTCTCGGTGTATATATTTATGTATATACACTTTAATACCAAGTAAGAAGTAAATATCAAAACGGATGGGAAGACCTCATCTTCTCGGCATATGCTCGTGAAACATGTACAAGGAGAGCGAGGCACTGTAGTTGGGGGTCAATTCTCCAGAGAATGGGTTCATGGCCCAGAGGGAAAAACCTGCGAGCCTAGAGTCCAGCCCAGCCCGGCCCGGCCCGGCAAGAACGGTCCATGTCCTAATCCCGGCTTGTACAAAACAAATAATACAAGGATTGCTTGATACGGTAAGCAAGGGTGTCGTAGCTACATACCTATTGTAGAAGGGGGATCACGAATGTTTTAAAGTAGCTGGATATTGTGCAAGCGACGGAGAGACAAAGGATTGGCGGAAGTGGTGGTGTGCAGCATGTCATGTGCCGGCGTGATGACGACGACGAGCGCGAGAGGGAGGGGAAGAGAGAGAGGTATAGAGCGAGAAGGGGCGGAGACGACGACGACTGACTTTGTGTGCTCGCAAATGGCAACTTGCTCGATGCGATGGATGCAAGCAAGTCTCGTGTGTGCGAGGGATGGGAGGGATTCAGATTCCATTCATACACTCCGTGCCAGCAAGCCAGCGGATCTGATTGCTAGCTGCCTGCCTGCCTGCCTGCCTCCACAATAGCAGGTCCCTCAAATTGGGGTCCTTGTCCTAAAGAGCTGTAAATCATACACACCCACACACCCCCACCTGTATTGTCAAGCAAGAGTGTCTTCGCCTTACGTAATGTGACGACACCCTGTGACGTTTGGTCATGGCATTTCTCCCCCTCCTGACAGATCTGATCTGCAGTTTTTCCACGACCTTGTTCGATGTAAGTTTCGCGTTTCAGGTCAATTAGAAGGTCCGAAAGTCCAGCCCCGTTTTGGGAGGACATTGTCCTAAAGACCCCAGAATCCACATACGTCTTGTGCATGTATTAACTAATCCGCTCACCAATCACCCCGGCCTCTAACCAGCTCGAATGACGACACTCGATCCGACCTCCGGCCTGCCTGCCTGCATGCCTCTCTCTACCCGAGCAAGGTTCAAGCGTCAACCCTCGAGCTCCAAGCGCTGAACAAGCTATCCGTCCGTCTGATATCTCGTAGGCACCATCGGCGGACTCTCTGTTGGGCCCTGGTTCGGCTCCAGGGGAAGCCAACCCAAGCCCAGTGACAGCAGATAAGGTCCTGAGGTTACGGTGGGTTGGGTTGGGTTGGGTTGGGTTGGGCTGGGTTAGGTTAGGTTAGGTTAGGTTCGGTCAGGGCCCAAGGGGCGGGGAGCCGGGGTATTTATGGCCTCGACGCCAATCATGGAAGGAGATGTAAGCTTACGTAGCGAGGTAAGTCAAATGCTCAAGTGGATTTATGGTTCGGAATATATTCGATAGAATGAGGCAATTCCAGTGGGAGATTCAAGCATGGGGACGCTCACTGACTCGCTCGCCTCACCGCGGATGGATGTCACATAATTCGCCAGTTCTCGAGTGCCTTGAAAAACGACGAATCAATCATGCGGTGGAATCTAGAGCCCGACGCATTGCGGTAATTTGGTAAGCTCTAGACGAACGATGCGGAGGCTTACGTCCCCACCAAATCTCCTATCTTCGGGCTGCTTTAAGGCTTGGGAATCTATTCGCTCGCCTGCAGCAAGTGGCGTTTGAATCATCCGAGGCCGTTGCCACGCAGCGAGCACAAGATGTGTCTCCTTGGCCTGGTCTCAGTAGGGTCCCGGCCTCTCCCCGTAGGCCGGATGTGTATGGACCGATCCAGCTTACGTACTCGAGTATCTTAGAGACTTTCAGGTGGATTTCTGCCTAGAATCTTTTCGCCCTCGGATAAGCATATGACACTGATCGCAAATAAAAGACAAACCTCCCTCCCTTTCCTCCTTCCCTCCTTCCCTCTGAGCTGGGCTTTGGCTTTGGCGTTGGCTAAGGCTCGGGTCTGCCCGGATGCAAACATTGGCAGCAATACAACAGCTGCTTCGCGAGAGGGAAAGTCGTTGTTGATGTTGTTGCTGCTGCTGCCGGGAGCGAGCGAGCGCAATAAGAGGTTGCAAACTTGGGATGCAAGCTTACGTGTGTGTGTACTCGTCTGCATATGAGCCCGTCGACGTACAAAGGAGATGTTTATGGGGCATCTAGAACTTTACTGAAAGTACAAAGCGAGGGCCAGGTGTGGCATCAGCCGGGCTTCGAATTTGAGACGCAACGAAAGCTAAACCCAGTTTGCTACTGGGCGAAGTCGTAGATAGCAGCAGCAGCAGCGCGGGGCGAGAGGTGGCGGTGTGTTTGTTTCCGGGCCAAAGGTCAATAGTCGATGCTGTTCATGTCCTTCTGAGCCCGAGTATTAAACCTTTTCCGGCCTCTTTATCTCTCTCTCTGGGGTGCGGATCGAGAGACAGACCCAGACACTGACATTGAGAGAGAAAGAGAACGAGTGCCCGCCCCCACTGCAAATCATTTTCCTCGTTTTGTGAGAGCGCGCGAGCGAGAGAGACACATCCCCCCGCCCCTCCCCGCCGAGCCCCTTCAACGATGGACCGAACAAAGAATGTCGATTGTCCGAAAAGATCAACCGAAACAACAAAAAATCCTGCTACAAACTTCAAGGAAGGAAGGAAGCAAGGAAGGAAGGGCACACAGGGATCGACCGATCGTCCATCGGCCATCATCCGAGCGAGCGAGTTCATGGATCGAAAGAAAAGCTTAAAAAACAAAAATAGAATTCTGTTCGGAGGTCGGTTGGTGGGGGGTGTCTGAGTTGGGATGATAGACGAGAACGTAGGCAGGCCATCACCTTATCTCGGAATGTTTTTGTTTACGGGTAGTTAACAGTACGTGCGAACAATTGTTAAGCGAGAGCCGGTACTTGGTACCCCTCCCCTCGCCCCCCTCGCCCCCCCCCACCCCACCCCACCAACGTCTATATTCGACGAGATGGGGAAACAAGTACTGCGTACCGAGAAACCGGATGGGGGGGGGGGGGGGGGGGTGCGAGAGACGACAGACACATGTGGATGGAAGACAACCGTGGCACCGCCGCTCGCTCGTTCGCTCGCGCGCGCACACGAGCGAGGGTCGAGGTTTGGCACCTCGCTCTCTGACAGCTGGAGGAAAATCCCTTACACTACATCCACACCGTGCACGGCGATGAGAGAGACTCGCTCGGAGGAGGCGAGCGGAGGTACCGACCGCGTCAGTGCCCAAGAGATAGAGATAGAGCCAGAGCCAGCGACAGGGACAGAAGGAATCTGCTCATGCTCGTGACCGAGAGATCTGTATGGAATACAGCAACTCCGACAGCAATAAACTAGAATAATCCTCGTATACGCCGATCCCTCTCTCCGAATGCTCGCACATTCACATTCACATTCGAATTCGACCCGCAGCGGCGCATTCCGAATCTATGGCCTCTTTGTCCTCGACGGACGGAGCCCACGAGGGGAAGGGCAGGGAAGGTAAAGAGGCCTTCTTCTCTCGTAGAGCACTCACACTCTCTCATGGCCCGGAAGGGGAAGATAAAGGGTGAGGTCGAGCCCATGTAAGTGAGGGAGCGTACATAGAAAAGGTGCCCAAAATCTCACGTCCTTGCCGCTGTAGATCTGTACACGGATGTTGGCCTTGCCACCATCCGTGTTGAACGAGGGCTCGAATGCGAGAAGACGAAGAGGAAGAAAGCTTTTCGGTTGTCTTCACCCAGCGGGATAAGGAATACACGAGCTGAAGTCGAGAGCGCTAAGTACACTTTCATCATTGCATGCCATGAAAGGAGGAGGAGGATGGGGTTCGAAAGTTTGATTGGGAAAGTGAGTGAGTGTACCGGACGTCGAGCTCGGAGGTAAGGCAAGCCCACCTCATACTGAAAAAAGGGCGACAGGATTACGTATTTGCTCTCGTGACATCTCGTCCGAACAGGAAGACCTTTCTTGTAAAGATGGCATCCGAGCACCTTGGCCTAGCGCCGTGCCTGCGTGTCTCAAAGCTGGAGTCAATTTGGCCTCGTACAACTGCATTTTGCGGCTGCAAACCACACTAACACCAATTGAAGGGCACCTTGGGGGCCGTTTGGAGTGCTGACGCGAGCAGGGACCGGCCCAAAAGCGCCTCAAAACCATCACAACTACACTTGGGCTACTGATGGGGTTGCGGTGCGGGACGGGCGCCTGCTGACGTTTACAACGAACAATCGATCGCAGCAGCAGCAGCAGCGAGCGACAGCCGCAATTCTATGGAATCTCAAGTCCTCTTCCTTTCTACGCTTCACACGTATGTGCGACGAGAAGCGATCGAGTGATGGTTTGTCCGGCACCCATGTAGCCATGTTGAGGTCTCGTCCGAACGAATGCAAGTTGGACGGGTTGAGGACGAGGAGGGCGAGTGCATAAAATAGACTTCTATGAGTAGCGGCAGTACGCTATGGAATCTCTGACTCTGAGACCCCAGCCAGCGAGCCGGCCAGCGGTACCATGGACGCAGCGGTTTGGTTGCTGGGAAAAATAGAAAAGCGTCGGAAGTTGAGAGGAATACTTTTCTGGTAGGACATATGACGATTCCGCACAATCGCATCTAAAGGACAGTTTGGTTCCATGAGAATATTATTGGAATCGCATCACATGTTTTACTAATCTCGAAATCGTACAGCGGCAGCACAATCACACGACCAAAGCTCCACCCCGAGCTTTGACTTCTCGTCGTAACCCTGCCATGTCAAAACCTCCCCCTTGCCCCTTGCCCCTTCCACCTTCCCCCCTCCCCATCCCCAGGCCCGTCTCTCCCGACGCAAAGACTAGTGTTTTCCAACCGGGTCATGAGGCTTTAAAGCCGACGGGCTGGAGTCAGTCGGTCGTGAAAACGTAGCGATGGCCCAGTCCACAGTGTCGTGTCCACAGCCCGCCCTCACTCGGGGCCTTGTGCATGATTTCTCGGGAATGGCTCCGGATCGCGGTACAGAGGCCTTGCCCGAAATCTTGACCCCCATATGTATCGCTCCCAAGCCTCGACTCTAGCGAGTGACCAACAATTAACACGACACTGAGCAACAGCTCATAGGTAATGGCATACCTCCCGAAGTACACGGCTATTGGTGACATAGACTGACCCACTGGCAACGATAGGAGTCAAATCAGGCTCTCCCAGAAAATATCAGATCCTTCAGATTATGCAGATCATGATCAAACACGCATATCCTCCACAGCCTGGGACGATGGGCAGGCAGACACAATAAGATTCCACCTTCTGTGTGCCCGACCTTTCCTTTCCAGCAGCGGAGGAGTTGAATCAATATCTAACGTTCTGTGGTGAAATATCTACACGATCGTCCACAGTGCATTGTAAGCCAAGCTCAAGTTCGAGGTGATTCTTTCACACTCGCGGGCCCTCAAGCACTTGAGAAAACCCAAAACATGTGTATGTATGTATATAAGTAAATATATGGAGTTGCAGCTAGTTATCTGCATAGGGAAATCTGCCCAATATAGGTTCAAGAGTGGCCAATTGTTCCCTCAGAAATCCATACATCGATCTGGTAGTTGTTGCTGCGGCACGAATGACGAGACCATCACCCTGCACAATGAGCAGATCCTTCAGAACGTTTCGTCTCTACAATCCATCGGCATTTGAGACTGATCATCATCTCGGGTGACCGACAACGTGTGGTCTGAAACAATGAACATTGGCCTGTTTTCTATACATGCCATGAACCACAACTGATGCATCTTCGCACTCCGGATTAAGTCTACCAGAGTTATCACAACAACCTTCAAATATTAACGTAGATTTTGAGAGGGACTCACCAGTGGCCCCACAGTACTACATGATGCAAGAAAAGCCGGTGCTGAAGGATTTTGCTTAGGCGTCTGTACTTGATCCGCTCTTGAAGAAGATGTTCTTCGACGATTATTTAAAATCCCACCGGCTAGTTTTTCTACATTCGACTGGACCAGCTTTCGAAGCTCGGCTAGACGAGGCCTGAAAAGTCAAAAACATGCTTAGTTATAATCGAGGAGAAAAGATGGTGTGCTGTAATCCAAAACAAACACATAATAAACTAGACGAGCATCTGTTGATAAGAGGCACTTTCATACAGAAAATAGACGACATGGTACTCTCACTCTGATGTCGCTATTGAACACAACTGTGCTTATTCAAGAAGAGGTATGCTCATAACATACCCTTCAGTGCTTGAGAACAATTGTCCAAATAAAGCTATCAGTGAGTCAGACATTCGTCTATTGGCTTTCATCAACTAACAGGCACTTTCCTTCAGTTCCGGATTAACAAATTTTACTCGTTTGTAATTGCCTGGCCTCGAGACAGTAGACCATGCCCTGGCTAACAGATTGCCAAAAAGAAGATGGGCTGAAAAGGAAGGGGGACACAGAAACAGACCACTGTTTTAGTGTTTAAGACCACTATATCTCTTACAGTAGGACAAATCCCCCCAATTACGTGGTTCGTTAAAAGGTTCCAGGCGTCAACCATGCAATCCTTCATCGACCTGTAGGGAGTTGTGGCCCAAAGATTACTGAAAAAGCAGCAGCTTTGGGCTTTCAATCTATCCTAAGAAATCATGAATCCGGTTCCAAAAGCTGAGCAATTGTTGATCATTTGCTGCTCTCATTCTGTCAAAGGCCTTACATATACTGTATGTTACGTGGTTCCTTCTATAAGTAACTCAGACTGCAAGTAGCGTGGTATTGATCAGGATGACGAAGACGTATCAAACAAAGCCAGAAGTAGAAGTCACTCTTACCCATATATGAAAATCATGGCGATCACATGATAGTCACCCATTCGCTCCGAAACAGATGGACTCAGATGATCATCAAGACACACCTGCACACTCCATCCATGATATTATTTTGCTTCGTTGCTCAACATTCGGGCATTCGATAAGTGAAATTTCTTCAAATTTTGAAGTAAACCTTCACTCTGACTTCTGAATGACACATAAGATGTTGAATCGTAAAGTGGAAATATACCGAGTCCAACAGTAATGGCGTATCTTCCTGAATGTAGACGTGATTTGTACTCTTGAAGTATTCAAAGTTCCAAACTTCACCTCGCGCTATTCGACCGCTCGTCAACCAGTCCACGAGCACTAAACTGGCATCTGGTGCCAGATTAAACCTTTGAACTTGAGAGTATCTGGCCGTAGCAAAGCATACCACAGAATCTGGCAAAAGAGCCAGTAATCCACCACTCTCGACTGAACACTGGGGAAAGAACCACACGAAATTGGATTAGGTCGTTTTAATTAATCCCGAGATGCATCGACTTCCACATCTCCAAACTTTCACCAATAAAACGCTTGACAATGTACCTTTAAAATATGGCGTGACATCTTCCCTTCGACTGATTTGTAGACCTGAGTGTTACAATAAGCAGAACAGGCATAAGATAGCTCTCGATAGATTTTTACTCAAATATAATTAACTTCGATTCTTACCATCCCTTGTAAAATGTCTTTATGTACTCATGCAAAAGATCGTGAAGAAAGGATGAGAAACTGACATCTCAGAAACCATCACAAGAAATACTGCTATACACAGTATAACGTGTTGTAAATTGATCTCTTATATTAGACCCTGACAGTTACTCGATAACAGTATATTGAAATCACATTTCTTATAGTTTAGAAGGTAAATAGTAAATTACATCAGGAATACATTGGTGGTAACGAGTCACCAGCCACTGTGGTTTACATTTTGGAGATTATGCATCCAGGTTGAACGCTGAGCTTAAAAATTATATATATTCTTGTTCAGTCATCAGAGCAATCAAGTCAGAGAATACAGTTAGTCAATGATCGTCATGTGAGTTACTAACAACACTTGTGAACTCTTAGATTACTGAGATGTAGGGATGGTGATAATCAAAGTAAATTCGAGTAAAGAGTGCTACACTAAGAATTCTGACCTGGGTCCCCATTGGGGTGGAGAGAAATCTGAACACACTCAACAAGATGGACCCTAGACGAGATATTGAAATTCTATGGGTGCTATATTTGATGTAATATTACTCCAGAAAATATTCAGCAAAGGTTTGCTGGAGGAATGTCTGAAATTAATGACCTTGTGCATGTGAGGCTCTTGAATAAGACTCTCCAGATAAATTTGAGATTGTGGAAGACCTTTAACTGCAGGAAAATATCCGGTCCAAGCTCAAACTTGTAATCACTATCGGATTATTTGCATATGCAAGATTAAGTTGGATAGAAAAGTCTACCTTGAAGCTTGATGATGAAGATAATAATATGATACATCACACGGCTAAACTTTAATCATGTTTTTCTAAGATAGGTGAGTCACGGTGATTATACCTCAAGCAATTCAGAATTGCACAATTTTTTGCTAGCTATCTCTAAAGTATAAACACATTATTCTATCACTTGATTCTCTTCCACATGAGTACGTGTCATGAGACTATTAGTACAACAAGAATGTCACCTTTCCTACTGTGTTGGATTGTTTGTATTGTGTTTTTTAGCCTTTTGACCCTTTGGGTCCCACGGGCTTGATCTATTTACCATTTACCATTTACCATTTACTACTAGTTTTGATATAGCTAGTAATGAACTTGATTTTCTTGCTGACAAATAGAAGTGGGGGCAGAAAAGTGGTGCCTAAGGGAATATCAAAGAGACTCGTCGCTGCTACTTCGGTGGTTAGAGAAGCAACTTGAGCTTCGACAGCAAAAAAGATGTCCAAGGAGACCGCAAATACTTCCAAGGCTAATCACAAACCTGAAGAGCACAAGAGATTGGGGAAGACAAGGAGAGCCAACCTGGTTCAAGAAAATTTCTCAAAATGATGAAGAGAGTGATTCTAAAATCATGACTGTTAATTGGGTACGAGATTGTGAGATAACCTGCTTGGCACGTGGACTCGGCAAGTAGTTCTCATATGAGCTATGACTCTCATAACTCATATGAGAGCATGAATAATGTGTTCAGATATGCAGAAACTGGAAATGGTGATGAATCTCCAATGCTTGGAGTAAGAAGTGTCCTTGTGAATTGCTCAAATAGTATACTGTGATACTGGATAAAGTTAGATATGAACATGATTTTGCCATGATGAGGGTATTCACTTATCTACGCATATGCTCCTATTCCAAAGGAGCAAAAGAGTAAACTTGGATTGAAAAGATTCTAATCTTCTTTTGATAAGAAGAATGATTGAAAGGCTACCTCCTTTGTCACCCAATAACTAATAGTAATACTTGAAGACACACAGACGAGAGAAGTATCACATTAACAAGATATACATTATAGACATATATAGCTATTCGAGATTAAAAAATGTCTAGACATGTGGGTTCACCACCAACTAACAAGTGTTGGTGACAATATGGATGGAGCATCATCACAAACACACAATGGAACTTAAGGTATACCTGATCCTCAACGTGGAGACAAAGGGGTACATGAAGTAGAATTGTTAGTATTATAATGCTCCGATTCCAAAAATCGATGATTCTTTAAAAGATAAAGGAAGTGCTCCTAAAAGATCAAATGGACAAACGTTCACAGTTTGGGAATTCGCTTCAGATACAGCTAATATATCTCTACAGAATAAAAATGATATTAACCTTGAGTAGATGATGAACCTTCATCATGTGTTGAAGCACCAGGAACATGAAATTGGAAAGAGTGGGAGCAAGTCATATTTGAGGATAAAGAGTCTTATAAAATGTGCTCCAGTGGCAAGATATGGTTCTGTTCCAATGTCAGCTCTAGCACCTGAGAATAACTAACAAGAAGATCAACTTTATAAGAACACAGCCTTCTTGAATGGAGACCTAGAGCAAAACATAAACGACTTAGGATCGTTTGCTTGCTTGAAAAAGCTTCGTATGGCTTCAAGGAAGCCATAAGCTTAATGGTTTTTTGAATGTGCAAGGTTTCAAGAGGATAAACTCAAACATCAGAGATGAAGAACTCTACATAGCATTCTGTGTGCGTGATATGTTTGAATATTGTTAGGAGTAATCTCTTACAATTCCTAAATTTTCGAAATTACGATAATTGTTCCTGTGAAAGCTCTGTAAGGTATATGCAAAGAGCCATCAATCATAAACCTTAAACTAGAAAAGATCCGATGTCTCAAACAAAAGGACCAGAAAACACGCATTTAATGGTCATAAAAGAAGGATAAAGCTACATGTGAAAGCTTGCAGCATTTAACATTTTCAGATTGGTGGTGGCTCAGCATCTACTTATGATACTCACATTTGTAAATCCTTGAGTCAAAAGCATCATGGTACTATCAGCACCCACATTTAATTCGAAGAAAATGCAGTCGCCCTGTTCACAAATTGTAGTCACTGTGTAAGATGATATATCACATGCTGATGACGTGTGACAAGCTTCTATTACTGCAACAAGGACAAGTTGTTTTTGCCTAATTTCAAGCAAACCTTCAAGCCAGTTTTGACCGAGGATTATAAAGTACTGGTTCTGTTAGAGACCATACCGATACTATACCACCGCCAAATGTGAGTGCATAAACCAGAACGGCATCCACGTGGGATGGAAGTGCCTGAAATACATCAACAAATTCTTTTATTGAATATTCGAAAATAATTATTCAAGCATACTTGTGAAACTTAAGGTTAATGGAACTGTAATAACTCTTCGAATTGAGCAAAAGCTGTACCTTCTTTGGAATCATAAACTGAAGGGGATAGGTTGCGTAAGATCGCGTTGTGGAAGACTTCCCATACACGCGCTCAACCCGTAGAGAACCGTTGAGCTTTGGCCCCTCTATTTGGTTCTTCAGTAGCAAATCCATAAGACTAACGGATCCAATATCGACGTCCATTGCTGCTCTGACGAGCGCTTCTAAAACTTGTCTATGGATCGCTCTCAGCGTAAGTTTCAACTACAGTGTCACTAAAGTAGCTCTATTCAGGTCTAATCTAAATGTTGCGCAATGTTCCTCAAACTTGCTGACGTCGTCAACTACAAATCCGCTCCAAGTCAGCAACTTCTTCACTGTCTAAATGGAAAGAGTGTACTTTGATATCTCTTCTAGCCTCCTACTAGATGGGTTAAATGGACTAATACGCTACTTTGAAGGTTTGGTGAATCGCTTATCTACTTCTAGCTTTCCTTGGTTTGATGAATGTGTTTGATTGTGACGTCTTTGTATCGAAACTAAATACTAAAAGAGGAAGTAGTTCTGAGCTAAAGGAAGATAAGATGCAGGTTGACAAGTCAATTCAACGCCATCAGCAGTAGTTCGGAAAGTTGTAGGATCAACGTCAATATCAGGGGTTGCAGAGTTTAGCTTCATGTCCGTTTTTTTGAGTTGTCGAGTATTTCTAACTGCTTCGACTTTCTTTTGTAGATTATACTTCTCTTTTACACCTTCCTTTTCAGCCGCCTGCAAATATACCAAAAGGGCGGGTCATAAAAATCTACTTCTATAATAAAACTTTAACTTGTTAACCTTATATCATGTTAGCAACTCAATGATAGATGAAGAAAAGGTTAAAGTTAGTCTCACCTGGCTGACGAAGGCTATAGAATGCAGGCTTCCTGCCTTCCCAGTTGCACCAAACATAGGCTTCATGCGTTTCTGCCAGAGCGAACACTCATAATGATATCTGATTTGTTCTATAATTTCTCAAAAATGCACTCAAGAAAAAACTGCATTTGTTAAAAAGCATATATATCTAGAAATATGAGATTCAGAAACAAGGCAGTGGCCTACTGGTTCAGGAGTAGGGATGCTTCCATTTGCATCTCCCATTTGCGCCCAGGCGATCGTGCCTCCTTTAATGACAATTTCAGGCTTTGCGCCAAAAAATTCAGGCTTCCACAGGACCAAATCTGCCAACTTCCCAACCTGAACAGGCTCATCAATAAATTGGCATGGTCACTGCAGGTCTTTCCGATGTCTCTTTTTCCTCGAGGAAGGAATTAAAAAACTGATATCTCTTTTGCGATACTTCACAAAGTTACTGCAGATTTCCACATATGATCCTAACGAAGCAGCAAACTCAAGGACGAACTGGTGAAAAGCAGTTCCAATCGCTACTTGACGATGAACAAAATCAGTTGAAATTAATGTCATACCTCAACCGAGCCAACTAGATGTGAAATTCCATGTGCAATTGCAGGGTTGATGGTGTATTTCGCAATATATCTTTTAACGCGGAAATTGTCAATATCCGGTCCTCCTTGTTCGGCTAACTGTCCCCTTTGACGTCTCATTTTGTGGGCAGTCTGCCAAGTGCGAGTTATGACCTAAAATTGCGTACAGCATTGAGTGTAAGTACGTACTCGCACTGAAGTGAACAAGCAGCCATAAGTACTTAGGAAACTTGCTTATATGAACAACATGACCACCAGCATGGCGACGACAAGCATATGTCAGGGCACGAACTGGTTGGACTTAGAATACGTACTAACCTGTATCCACCAACAGCTAAACTTATATGCACCTTACCGAGTGGCTTTAACATTCACTTAAATCAAACGAACATCATTGAAGTTAAATTTGAGTAGAAACAATTGAGCACATAAAGATCAGCATGAAATCAGAAGAAAGAGCGTGTAAAACCTCTCCAACTCTGCCCATCGCTTGAGAATCAGATGATATCATGCTGATAGCGCCCAGGTCGTGTAAAATGTCTTCTGCAGATATTGTTTGATGGCGAATACGAGAGTCCGCAAACTTGACATCCTCCGCAATGTTTTTGTCAAGATGATGACAAACCATCTGGTTACCAAATCCAAAATGAACACGTTCGCTTTAAAAAAGGAATCAAGTCACAATGCTCTGACACCTCTAGGTTCCTGCAATATCAGGTTGACTTCATTCTACTCATTGAACTGAAAAGACCAAGTTGTACTCTACATCTGCGGTAAGGAGCCAACCAGCATATCACGATGTTCATCAACAGTGTTTATGGTATATGGTCTTGTAGGATCGGTTGACGATGGCAAAACATTGAGTAATCCACAAACTTTCAAAATGTCGGGTGCATGACCTCCTCCAGCTCCTTCACTGCAAGAAGAATCCCATTTCAAAGGCCCCCAAAAGAAGATATATGTGAGACCAGAAACCGCAAAAAAGACATTCCCAACTATGACGCTAATCATAAAACTAGATGGTAGGGTGTAGCATAGTGTTTGAATATTAGTTTCTGTCGTTGTGAACTAATCTCAGAGTCAGATCATAGCAGTAACTTAATAACAGGAAGGAAGATGTAAACTTGATGAATTAACTGTTAATCTCGGAGTCTGTTTCTTTCTGTCTTTAGCAGTAAAATAGTAATTGTAAACAATCAAAATTACTTACTATTTTAACCACTTACAGTCACTACTTTACCACAGGAAATCACTAATTTATAACTGATAATTTACCTTAAGATTTAATTACGGTTCGTAGCCATCTGCCACCTAAGATCAGGTTATCAAGTTAGGACCTCAGGTTGAAGTTTAAGCTGTATATATTGCTAGTATTGGTAGATTAACCGTAAAGAACACGGGTCAGACTAAAGATATTGCCAATTATCATTTCTTCAAACAATGATCATTCTCAAGTAACCATTGTAGCTTTGATGGATTGCTGAAAAATGGAATGGAATCAGCTGAGAAACCGGTATAGTCCTAGTTTAAGTCTAATTTAAGTCTGAGTAGTGTTCTTTAGAAAACTCTCATGGTTATACATCTGTGGGAGATCTTGATAAAACTGTTGCAACAGAGTTCATCATATGAATAAGTTAAAAGAGGTAGATAGTAATTTCCTTCAGAGTTACCTCTGTGACTAAGAACAGCGTACAGTGTATGGGATTTTTGTGTCCAGGCTCAGAAGTGAGACTAGAAGCTCTATATTTTTCTGCTTAGTCACTAAAGTACCTCAAGTACTGGTCACAACCGTGAACTGTTGGAGGATTAATCAGATTTTGGGTGGTGGGAGCAATCTAGCTGCCTTCGAGTTAAAGATTGCTTGAAAGTAGAGACTGTTACAATGAGAGAGTTCTGATCTGACTAGAATTGGCCAGGATTTGGATAAAATGTGAGCAACTTATGGCAGGTGCTAGAGAATCCACATGGCCTGTTGTGGTAAGACAATGACCAGAATAGGATCACATCTATGCACTGAATTTCAAAACTAGCAACCAAACATATTCCATATAACTGGACAGTTCAATTATTACACGTTCCTTTCAATCATCAAAGCTCTATGATGCTCAAGTTCACATCCGCAAAGTGCAGAATGAATCCGTACAAAGAACATATCATAAAAGCCATCTCATACCTGTGATATGTGTGAATGCAACGATCTCCGATGGCCTTGATGGTCTCTTCGACACAGCCTGACTCGTTCAAGGTATCTGTGTGTATAGTGACCTTTCATGCAACAAAGTCGATATTCTACATCACATTCTATCCACATCACTTTCGCATTTTGGTCTAACTCAGCATTCATCCTAATCAAGCAATGACTTCAACTGAAAAAAAGTTTCACTTCAAGAGTCTCCGATACGACAAACTACACTGCTCTTTCAGTCTGTCCAGTTTTGTGATACTGAAGAAACTGAGTTCTAATACAGTTAGTCGCAGTTAATTTTTAGCCAAGCTAATACCAAAGCGCCGTGAATCAGGCAGCCAACACTGAGAAAACGAATCGATCAGTTGCAAATAAAGCAAGTTGGACTTTGGAAATATAGAACCTGAATATCGTATTCATCAGCTACTCTGAGACAAGTGTCGATAGCTGCAGGTGTAGTTCCCCAGTCTTCATGTAGTTTCAAGCATATAGCTCCAGCTTTTATAATATCGGCAAGGCCCTCTGGTTCAGAAGTATTTCCCTGTAAATGGTAAACCACGCAGTCTTTCAGGTGCTTAGAGCAGAGCAGCAGCACACCTACTTTAATCCTCCACAAGGATCAGGCCTAGCATTTGCTGCTAAGGACTCGTTTCCTCAAATTCAACGTTCCTAACCTACAACAATTGACGCCGACAGTACTAGGCAAGAGAATATGTGAATAACCTTGCCAGAAAATCCAAAGTTTAGTGGTAGTTCATCAGTCGCGATCAACATTGTGCGCATTTGCTCGGGGGCTGGTGTACAAGTTGTAGCAAGTGAACCATGTGCTGGTCCGGTACCTCCACCAATCATAGTCGTAATACCTGCCAAATTCAAATCGTATACTCAACACACTTCGGAGGCAACGCAAAATAAGGGAACTTTCAACGAACACAGACGCAAGAGGCAGAATAAAAGATGGGTGTGTGAACGTTCACAAGGCAGTCCGGTTCATGCCGCTAGATTAGATAATATTCAATCCATCATAACTTGGGTACTCACAGTATACTTACCACATATTCCTGGTTTACATTTTCAAACAAAAGATTGTCGTTCTGAACCCTAAATTCTACACCTGAAATCTACAAAAAAGCAACTGGCGTTGCAAAACCGCTGACACACTTCCTGACTTGACTAGACTTTTCAACTTGATGAAAACTCACTTGCACTGAGAAGAATATTCACGCATTTTCAAAGTATACCGATCAACACCCAAATGGATATATGGAACAGAGCATATAAAGGTGCGTCTTTTCCTATTCCTTTACATCGACTGCTTTCCAGTTTTTCAACTTACCACTGGCTATAGCTTCATCCACAAGTTGTGGACAAATGAAGTGGATGTGGCTGTCTATACCACCTGCAGTTAAAATGAGTCCTTCTCCAGCAATGGCTTCCGTGTTAACCTGTGAAAAGTACAGCGTGAGCGCTTCTGTCAGGGAACGATGTCTACTTGTAGGTAATCATAGAAAAAAGATGAATAAAACCTCCTAGTAAGAACCTGGAACACTCTCTTCATTCTCCAGAGTTACTCGAGCTCTACGTCTTGTCTCAGGCAATATTCTAGTTAAGAAGCCAGCGACTTTCGACTGATATCCACGAACTTCACGCCTCTGAAATTTCTGGTCTTAAACTTCACTGTCTCACGGTGTAGCGATCTATAATCCAGTAGCGTCCATGGGATTCTCGTCAGTGACGTGGAATGAATGAAGATTCACTCTCATATCAAATCCAACCGTTCCTCACACTAACAAGTCGATTGTCGTACTAAGAAGAGTTTCATGAGCAAGAATGGACGACTTACCCCAACCACCAGATCGTTATAAACACCGTCCATTACGTCAGGATTTCCTGCTTTCCCGATGGCTTTTATAAGCCCTCCTTTTATACCTATGTCCGCCTTGTAAATCCCCATGTAGTCTATCACTAACGCGTTTGTAATAACGACATCCAAAACATCTGCCGAGAGATATCCGCTCACTTGCCCCATTCCTTCTCTCAGGACCTTTCCTCCACCAAACTTGCATTCATCTCCATATATTGCGAAGTCCTTCTCCACTTCAACTACTAGGCAAGTATCACCAAGCCTAATCTTGTCACCCTTCGTCACACCAAATATATTCATATATTTTTCTCTGTCAACCATCTCTGTCAGTGCCGAATCTTGACCTGAGAAACCTTCACTGAAAGAAGGGTACCCACACAAAGTGTACGAAGGTCATCAGCATGGATTGAGTCTGGTTACATACAGATTTACTGCTACGTTCTCTTTATATCTTCACATGCAGCTTAATTTAGATATATTGCTGTGCCTACTCTTTTCAAAATTTATCAACGATGTTATGAGCCGTCTTGTGCTCAAGCATAACAAGTATGTAAGCAGTATTAAAGACATCATTCAAGCGTAATGCCACTACTAAAAAAACTCCTGAGTACGGTAAGCCCAATGTACATATTAATATAATTGGAGAAACATAAACGAGATGAAGTTTTCCTTATATTCACTATCCTAAATTCTTAATACACAACACTGTTTTGTAAAAGCACATGAAGAAGCTAATGGCCGTTGTCTCAAAAACCATAGATGAGATAAAGCGAGGGAAATAACTTCAAACTGAGAACAGAAAGTGAATAAGACATTACAGCGCATTGTGCTCCTTCTCATGGCCGAATTTCCTCTCGATGACAGTCTTCATAATCTCCGGCAGGCGTGATGGGTCCACTGGACCACTTGCTACTCCATTACCGCCAGTAATCCTCTTGTTACCACCAATTTCGACAAGAATCACAGGGCATGTATCACCTGCCTGTTACACATAAGATAGCACGTATTATTGAGAGAATCTGAAGGACCAGTTCAGAAATTATAAGCCAGAGAAGAAATAATTCAACAGAGAATCGTTACCTCGAATCGTTTCGCTGTGCCAGCAAGAATATTAAGTCGCTTGCCGTAGGCTTTCTCTCGGTCAAAAATCAAGAGAGGATTTGTCTCTATAAAATGGTAGTGACTGCCAATCTGAAATACATATTGGCAACTTAAGAAACTTCGAAAGACTACTAGAAATATATTGAAGAGAATGAAAGTGCGAAGAAGATGAAAGATAGGACCAACCGTACTAATGTGAAGTTCTAATTCGCTTTAAGTACCTGACCAGTAAACTTGATGACCTGAAATTAGTAATTCCCGGGCAAATCTTAGCACTAGCGGTAAAGTCAGACAAATTCGGTAGTTGTATTCTTGACTAACCTGGATTGGACGATCTGCCGAATTTGTTACATTCAGCCTGACAGCTTTCCGGTTTGCATTAATCATAATTTTTCCAGGCAGAGATAAACCACTTGAAGGGAGCACTTCTGCTTCATCCCCTATACGGTCTTGATAATCAAATTTAGATAAATCTGGCACTGCACACAGCACAAAGTTTGAGGGTCAGCTTAGAACTCAGCATCTCGAATGCCTTGTAAAGTATCTGACGGTCTACTCACCGATCAAGTCTACCCTTCAGCACATAAAGTGTGCTCAGTTTCGCCTGTCATAGCCTGAAAACAACACGCCAAGCTAAGCCGTGGTAGTGACAGTGAAGAACAAGTGAGAGAGACGAAGCCCTCTTCGTCTCTCCCACAGGAGGGAAAACGAGGAATTTAATTGACAGTAAAGATAGTAGCAATGCCCCCATGGATGAGGTTCGCTTGGAGCTTTCAGGTATCAACCAAGAAAGCCTTGCCCAGCTCATCCACCATTAAATCTTTGCAAGCCTAGAAAACATATTCCAGAGAGCAGCTGCTTAGGCTTTGAACTGAGGCCAGACATTTCCATAAACAGATATCACAGGATTTACTCCATTGATAATCCTCTTTGACGTTAACGCACAGTTTTTGCGAAGCTCTCCACCATTTCCTTAGATGCCTGCCCTCCAGAGGCCAACATTTTACTTCAAATCTGTACCCAGACCAGCCATAACCATCAACAGCGACCTATGCCCACCCATAGCATTACCTGTTCCCACCCATGCCCACCCATGCTATTCAAATTACGCCAATTGTGTCATTTGTATTACCCGGTTACACCAATTCTTGGTTGGATCTGAGAAACACTGCCCATAGCATTACTTGTGCCCACCCATGCCCACCCATGGAAAATAATGTCACCCAAAACCCATGGGCATGGGTATGGGCACCCAATGTTGGGTTCTGCTGCCCTCCACACGTAAGTAAGCTCATCACTGAAAACGGCATCGTATGCCCTTTTGATATCCAAGGAGAAGCCATAGGGAGGTTTCTCTTCCATTTTAATTACGGCATTATTTAGCCAGAAAAAATTACGAACTTTCAACTGCCTTCCCGTCCAGGATGGCACGATGTGCATCAAAAACAGCATGTGATCCAGGTATCAATGATTCGGCATCACAATTCCCAAGCAACACTTATTTGAATGTGATATTTTACTGTTACCCAGTCCTCCCCTTCCCCGTTCTCGAAGAGGTTCACAATGTTGCTTATCACAGCCTGAAGCCTGATGACCTCTGCTTTCTTAAAGAGCAAAATCTGTCTTCTGAATCTATCAAAGTACTTAAGTTACAATTCTCCTTTTAAGTAAATAAGCTTCAACGTTCCACTCTAACCCAACATTCCACTAAACCCGTTGCGCGTGGTTTGAAGAAGCCTGCGTTCTCGTTCTCTACCAGATAAGTGTTCATTCCAGAACTTGTATACTAACAAGAAGAGATCTATATCAAGGTCTTAGCTGTGCCTCAAGGTCTTAAACACATCCTTGCATAAATCTCTGCTCATCATTGTTGACTATGTCTGTCGTATGAAGTTGAGATGGTTAGCTTCGACAGCCAAAACCACTTCAGCTTTCTAGTAAGAAACACTTTCGTTCTAAGAGGTAAATAATCAGGACTAAGAACCAGGCTCGATACCATCATCCAGAAATATTTGATCGATTGATGGCTATGGGCAGAAACTACTGTTTTATCATTATGGGTACATACCAACACCACACAAACGTCACATGTACTCAGAACGCACTTACATTAGCAGAATGCAGTACCTGGTAGGAATGAACCATACAACGCTTTTTCAAGATCCCCATCCATATCAGGAAAGGGGTCCGTCACAGTCACGAGTTTTGTGCCATCTGGAAATGTTCCCTCAATCTACAATTTGTGGCCACAATATCAAGCCCCAATGTCAGAACAGCACACCTGCTGCACTTTCCTAGGTTGCAAATTTTGCTGCTGCAATTCTCCTACAAGAAACAGTACGGATAACAACGAAGCCAAGAACACGTGCATTCGGAAAAGATGGAAATGAGAGACAGACCTGGACACTCTCTATGAGTAAAGGAACGGCAGGTAAAACTTGCCTCCTGCAAAACCATGTAAAATTCTCGAACGTATGTAGTTAAACCAGATCCCAACATAGGATTACACACAAATATAGTAACAACATGCACTCCTGGCATGAACTCAGCGCGCTGATTTTCCGCGGACTTTCAACCAAGAAACGTACTATCAAATACATATCAATGTTTCGAAATTCTATCACTGACTTCGATGACAGTAAAGTGCCATGTTGAGCTCTGCCCAGTAAGATACACTTTACACGCATATTCGAAGAATCTTAGCTGATCGATGAACATATTATAACAAATGAAGGAACGGATTTCCTACGTACTTGCCAAGGAAGTGTCGCCCCAGTTCCATTAACTCAGAAACTGACTTATCTCCATCTCGGATAAATTCCAAAACCTGCTTAAAGGTTTGTGAATTAGATTTGGAGCTAAGAGTCCCACGCAACAGACCGTTTCTAAGTTTGAAGAGTTACTTCGGGCTCTGCGCCTCGTCTATACACTAAAGACTTCGAGTAAACGCATTGTAGTATGCTAGCGAGGAGTGAGAGTAGTTGGATGCTAGCATCCAACAAGGTTAGAGGGATAGGTAATAATCAAAAGACTGTCTACCCGCTGTCCTGAGTCAAATTAACTTACGTACATTTTCATGCAAGATACGTATTCCATAAGAAGGAAACTGCGACTAGCTAAGAGAAAGAAAAACAAGAAAAAACGCATTTGGTACTGAAATTCCGCTGCAATACCTGAGTGGCTATGAGTGCAACAGCTTCCGGGTGATTCAGCCGAATCCCACGTGCAAGCCGTTTCTGAGCAAGACTGCCGGCTGCATGTAGGGCAAGTTTTTCGTGTTCCCTTGGAAGTAGCTTCATCCTGTTCAAGTTTCTCAAAAGACCTCAGCCGCTGGACTGAGTTTAGAGAAACCTTCGCATATCGTGACGAGATGAGTAAATCACCTGCCCCCAGGAACAGACCCGAATCACTAGCCTGAAATTTAGTTCAACTGCAGAGATTTAACAGTAAGATCGTCAAGAAATACTTTACTCAGACACTGACTATCACAAAGAAGCTCTTACTTAACGCGCAATTTAGCTCCTACTTTGTAAGACTAACAGAGATCAAACCAAACAGGGCACGCACAGAGTATCATAACACAAACTAAGTAGTCAGTAAAATCTAAATTGCACTCAGAAGGAGTAAACATTCGGATCAACGGAAACCTTTTGACAAAGAAACCCTGATGCATAAGGGGTATGATTAGCCGGGACCGTTCCACCTTCGTCTAGTACTACGCACTCAGATTAGAGAAAAGAATTCATTATAAGAAGAATAAACATAAGCATAAACAAGGATTGTTCAGAACCACTTCGCATTTCCTTCAGAATTGTGCATTCTCTACAAGAACGGTCGGATGAGAAGGCCAGTTTACTGTGCGAGGCATCAGACAGGAAGTTGGATCTCTAGAAACTTCAGCCAGATATCATGATGTGTAAGTGCTCAGCATGTCTGCAGCTAGTGGCATATTTAGATACTACATCTAACGTCACCAACACCTGACTCCTGAGCACCAACAGCTGATAATTCATAGGAGACCATAAGGAAATACCACTGAGGATAAATCTGATCAAAGCTGATGTGTCCAATCGAGTGATTAACTATTTCATTGGTGACGAGCTATCCATACAGAGAATCCGCATGGAATCTTCTCAGAATTATAGTGTTCCGAACTTAATTATTTTGTCAACTAGACGTTGACAGACAATTCTCAGCTCTTATGCGACAAGAAGGGGAAAAACAAAACAAAACCTTCGAACGCTGGCTGGATGCAGATAGCGGAAAACTACATGAATAAGTTGCATCGCCCTTTGGAAATAGTCACAGATCACGCAATCACGTAATCACGCACCCGACAATTGTTTCTAGTAGAACTCACATTACCAACACACGCGAGGCAAAAGCAGATTCGAGACTTCCATCATGGCCCCGATCTCCAGCTGCGGGACAGCAGATTCAAGCTGAGAGTCGCATTCTGGAGTGTGACAACTTCGAGCAGATGTTGACCTCGACCCAAATGTGGTCCAGACGCATAATTACGAAACCTGCTCCCCTGAACAAGCATGGGGCTGAGCCCCTGTTTGCTGCGACGAACAGAGGTCGTCGTTGTTGCCCCATGGAAGCAACGAATCCTTTCCACTATCCATGAAGAGCGGAGAGGCGGCCTTGCTGGCGTCTGCATGGACAATTTTGGCCATTTGTAAGATTGCCAAGTAAGCAAAAGGTCCGCAGCCTGTGGCCGAGTCATGACGGAGTGACCTTTGCAATGATCTATTCCAACTGATCTTGGAACTTTTCTGATAACTGGGGGCAAAAGTTGGTGCTGCAGGGGATAGGATATGCTTACGGAGCTACAACCTTCAGCCATTAGGGTCGTGGTTTTGCCCTTGCTCGTATATAAATGAATAAGAATCATATCTTACCTGTGGCTTACTCATGGGCTCCTTTCCACTCATGGGGCACACATGGAATGCTGTGTGATGCACTCTGTCCCATGCGTCCTTGACTTTCAACCTTTTCCATGGTAAACCCAGTTCGGATTTGCAAGTCAGGTGGGCAATTGCATCACATATGTCACAAAACTTTGTTCGAGTGATACTAATAAGGTATTGAGAGCAATAAGCATCCATCCAAGGTTCTACCGTGGACTTTTAGAGACTATTATTTCATGTCAACCCGTATCATTTCTTGTGATTCATGATTGTTAGGTCTACTCCAATATCTCAGTTGACTCTAGTCAGGATGCTGCTCTAAGTAGATACTTATTAGGTTCAGGGTTACATAAGAGAGTTCGTACATACTATTACATAAGAGAGTTCGTTTGAGTTGTTTGTTACAAATTAGGCTCATTGTCATTACTATTATTGATGTGTTCGCCTGGGTGTTATCGTCTTGACATTATGTCACTCTCACTAAGCTATAATGATATTATGGCATCTTCATAAGCTTTTGTGTTATTTATCATACCGTTTAATTTACAGTTATTTGAAATTGATGAACTTCAAAATGAACTATAATGCTACGATTAATAAATTTATATTAACAATTAAGATGATCCTATTGTGAATTAATATTATTTCAATCATTGCCTAAGTTTGGAAATATCTGGCTAGTGTTAAAAAATAGTGTTAGATTTGGAAATTATATATCGACTTTATAATATTACTTTTACTATTGGTTTATTAACAAGCTTTGAAATGAATATGATAGAGATGTGAGTCTTGATAATTCATAAAGTATGATAAAGGTGTTGAATGAATGCTGTATTTTTTATGCTTTCAATATACTGTTAGAATTATGTGTTGGACATACTATGAATGATTTCAAGAGGATTAGTTTTAAAAATCAAGAATTAAAATTTAGTTAGCCACTTTTGTGAATTTGTTAATGAGAAAAACCACATGTTTGATCAATCATTTGATTTTTTCGTTTTAAAAACTAGTACTTTTGGTAATCGACTATATTGCTTTTTCAATAAAACTGCTCGCAAACATGATAGATTATTAGCTCAAGATGCCGCATTGACCTGCTGCACGTATTTCCCTGTGGAAGTCAAACATACGCGCAGGACAGCGAATCGGAGACTATTTCAACCATTGGCACCTGAGCTCTGCAAAATTTTAAATATCATTAAGAGTTGTCATGATATTATTATTCAAATTAGCAAAGTGACGGTACAAGGCAAGCTCCTAGTCAAGAGTTAGCACATTATATAGTCATGGTATGCATGTGCAATCTCAACAAAAGCAATTGGAGAATAAGAATAAAATGTGGTAGAAGTAAACTAATGTCAGTATCCAGAAATGATGCACATATGTCTTATCATGAAGATGTTGGAGAGGACAGGTTTGAAATTGTTCTGACTTCTATTGCAGCCTCCAATCTTGAATATTGCTGGTGAAATTGAATCCAAATAGATAAACAAGATGTGAGGAGAATTGTTAACCAGTTAAAGTTTTTGAGTAGTTAACATTTGACCGCGGCCTTGAATATCAATTCATACATTACTCTGTAACGATCTATCAGAAAACTGTACACGGAGATGGAGGAACTGCGGTCTACCCATCAATATAAACATCTAGCGTAACGTGAAAGTAGCAAATAAAATTTCTTTATTCTCATATGTTTTCATTCAGGAATACATTGATATCTGGATTATCATCAAATTAGAATTGCCAGTCACATTTTATGAAAGCAGCAAGGTTATATTCCTTGCTGTTAGTATTGACATTACGAGTAATCGATTTTGAGATCATGACCTATAATAGTGAAACTTGGCCATTTGTAAGAGCTCATATGATAAAGCTATCAGCAAGGCCATTGTACTAACGTACCAAAGCTTCATAAAATGCTCTGATGATGGATAAGACGAATAGTGCCTTTTGGTTTTTGGGTAAGCATGCAATGGTTGGTTTTGGTTTGCAAGTGAACTAAGTACAGAGTACATTTCATATTTAGACATCTCGTGAGTGTTAGTAATGTTCACCTTCTGTGAGCATGACCATCAATGTGACGTGGGCTGGTGATATAATATTCCAACCATTAAGTACTTCCACATGATATGGAAGTTCAACCCAATGAGATTGGAATTTAGTTGAGCTGCGCTGACGTTACGGTGGTGCAGTTCCCCTTCTCAACGACTCTCTTTTCTGGCCATTGGTCCATTTACAGAACCTAGCACCCACGTCCGCTCCAGTCCAAAAGGACTGCGTCAAATTTAACCAAGTTTCTCCAGCAGAAGTCGGGATTGTGCATAGATTCGCCCCCAGGAGAATGGACTCTCTGAACAATGAAGAGAGAGGCGGTCCCATAAAGCGCGTCCGCGGCGGGCCGAGCAATTTGAGACTCTCTGCGACGAAGAAGATCCATGCTATGAGCACTTGACTTGTTTGATCACGGTGTTCGTTGCCGTCGTTCGCCAATTTAGTGCTTTGCTACATCCACGACGGGCTACTTTGTCTATCTCATGGGCTTGGCTTCTTTTTTGACGATGGTATACCCTTGAGTTCTTCGTCCGCAAAATATTTGACTCTAGATCTGGAATTTGTGAAAATAGTTTGAGGCCTTTTGTAATTCCTGTCTAATCCAAGCTCGGATCTTTCCCTACTACATTGGGAATAGCAATATTAGACCTTCTGAACAACCAAACATGATGGCGTTTCTTAATTATTAAGGCTGTTTGACTTTCATACGCGGTCTTATCTCAAAATCATTTTTTTTCTGCGTTCAGGAATGCGCTCCCTTTGGATCTAGTGCCTTTAAAAGCTAAGTCAAGAAGAACTGCACGAGAAATTACCTTTATACGAAACGAGGCCGGCCCTTTCTGTCTATTTCATGAGTTTTCGTTCTTTATTGTACGTTGGTAAAATCGAGATGATGTGCACTGCATGCTGCTCTCTATACTCGTTAATTTTCTATGGGTTAGTGAATTTTGCACTTTCAAACAAACCTGTGATTAACACAGGTTATTATATAACACTTATATATTTATCTATTGAGAAATTACTGCATGTATATATGATAATTAATAAATTTATTTATTTGAAGAATAACTACGTATTGTTTAATCAGAATCTACTTATGTTTGACATAGATAAAACTTCATAGTTATCTTTTGTGTTTCATGAAGTATAATATTAAAATTTAGATTGAACACATATTTTTTATCTTTATAATGAAGATATATTGAAGTATTTCAATTAAAATTAAAAATTTGAACACAATTTCTGATCCAATTTAAACCTGGTAAAAATTATGGAAACAATATAGTTCTTACCACTAATTTTTTCAATTTTTTAGATATTGATAATTGTATTTTCACATGTGAATTTTAGTTGAGGGTGAAAATAGAATATTATTAACAAAATTAACCTTAAAATAGCTAAAAGTAAGGTGGCACTTGGTCTAACTTCTGTGTAACAAAGTTAGTATAATGTTACTTTTTTTATATGTCAAGATATATCTTGAAGTAACAATTTTCAAATAAATAAATTTTTATCAAATTTAAATGAAGTGATTCAAGGGGAGTACTAGTTATATTTCACTTAGGGCTAATTAGGCCTCATCCTAGTATAGGCGATTCTTTGATTGGTAGTACAACCTACACCCTACCCTTATTGCTATTCATCCGAGGAATCTATAAACCTGCATCTACCAATCAGAGAGGAGCCTGGTATAAAGTGAGTGATAACTAGCCGCTCATCTTAGTCTAATGGCTTTTAAGATATTTAAGATTGGAAGTATATTATTAAATCAATTTAATAGCTATTTATGATTTTCATGATAAAACTACATGCTTATTGCTAGATGAAAATTCATTACAACAATGACCTAGCATGACTTTTATTCTTCATTCTTCATTTCAATGGTATATCATAAAAGGATATATTCAAATTAAAATTGAAACAAAATTTAAAATATTTAGACAAAAGTATATTTTCAAACAACAAAAATTGATTTTTTTGTTGAGCCACATAATCTTTGATATATGGTTTGAATGTATATTTTCATAACAAACCAAGAAGTATAATAGAGTTGAAAAATCTTTTGAACTTCATCTATAATTATTATCATACAATAGATTATTTTTGCTGTAAACCTGATACATGTGAATGAGATAGAATTTCACTCTTAATTTTAGATCAAATGTCAAAGTAGTCTTTATATTTTGATAGATTGCTTTTTTCAATATAGTCATAACTTCATCTATTTATTTAGTTTGTATTTTACTCATGTATATGAGCATCTTAGAAAAAATATCAATGAGATTTTAAATTTAGTATTTTTAATAAGTTGATGCAAATTTGTGAGTCGGTCAAAACCACTTCATAAGTTAAAAAAAATATACATTTTGTCAATCATTGGTGCTAAATGCTAATAGTCTTCTTGCGTTGACAAAAGATGTTAAATTTATTCTAAAAGTTTCAATTTGTGATTTTTTTATCATTATATTGCTCATATCATGATTTATATTTTTTACATCATCTTTCTTCATATTTAAATAAAATTTTACATTAAACAATCCTAAAATAATATTGTTGAAGATTCAAAAATTACATGCAAAGTAGATAATTATGTCATTTATGTCATGAAAAGAAATTATATTATATTATGATATCTCAAATCAAACTGTGACACAAAGTAAAAAATATTTGCTGCTAATGTAGGATGAAGGTTATGTATATGCAAGCATGGTTATAATAGTCACTTACCTAAATAACCTAGATGCACTTAATTTAGTCTACTCAAAATTTTAATTTAGACTAATTTTGTCTACTAAAAAGTTAATTAGATTAATTTAGTTTGCTAAAAATTTAATTCAAACTAGTTTACTCTATTAAAAAAATTTTATTTAAACGTTTTTCAATACAAATTTTCTACTAAGTATTTATCAATGCTTGAACTATTTTATGAACAAAAAGTATTTTGCTTACATGACTTAAGCTAATCAAAAGTTTGATAATATTTTGCAAAACATACATTTTTCCCAAGTCAAAATTGAAAAATCAGACTCTACCGTACTAATTGCAAGAAAAAACATTGCAATAACATCACACTATTCTATCAAATTTATAAATCGAGCATCAAATGAAGATCATCCATATTTGAAACTTGAAATTCTGGAAAGCAAACGAACAACACTCATAATCACTAACTCACATCTATGAATATGGATTAGAGCTTTGTGCTCATCAACTATGATATTGATATGATCAGATGAATGACACTATTTCAATCGATAAACATGTTATCAAATTTTTTGGATTTAATCTATTATAGATAGCTTGATGAGTTCATGTGATAATATTTGAAAAATAGATCATAATAATTTATAGCATTGTTGTATTGATTTTGATAAGAACAAATTTCATGAATCCGATATGACGTAACATGACAAATTTCATGAACCCTATGCAATGACGTAAACAAAAGCGATATCGTGTTAAGTATCGTTAGATTGTTTTTTTAAGCTAGAGTCCGCGATTATTTATTAGATTAGTGAAAATGTATATACTAGTAATTTCATTCAAAATTTTACCTATCCTTCATATGTAGCTATTTATAGCGTAAAGTTGTTGACTACCTTGGGTATATATATCCTGAGGATTATAAGAATATTGTTACTTCAAGCAGTAAACTCTCGAGTGTATTCCTCCGTGGACGTAGACTTTGAGGGTGAACCATGTTATTCGTGTGTATTCTTGTGTTTCTTGTCTTGTTGGATTGGTTAAGTATGTCGTTATAATTCTCGTGATTTGCGTTTACACACTATTCTTGGATTTTTATCAAAATGCAACAAATGACTCTTTACATAAATCAATAAAAATCAATTTAGATGTCATGAAAATACACTAGCCGCTACTAAAAAATTTAGAAATTGCAAGAATATTTGATAGTTGACTAGAAAGTTTTTAGATTAAAGGTTTGAACCGTTGGCTCAAAACCCTAATCTTGTCTCGTAGTCACTACCAAAAACCTTGAACATCGCAAAAAAAATCTAGCCATCGACGATGAAGTGTTTAGATCAAAAGTTTAACCCGTTGGCTCAAAACCCTAATCTTGTCTCGTAGCCACAGCCAAAAATCCTTAGCATCGCAAAAAAGTCTAGCCGTCGACTATGAAGTTTTTAGATTAAGTATTCAAGATTTAATTTATTTTATAGAAATTAAGGATAATTTTTTAGCCGTTAGCTTTAAATTCTAAACTTGTAATCTAGTTTTCGCCAAAGATCCTAGCCAGCGCAAAAAGATTTAGTCGTCAACTAAAAAGTATTTAGATTAAAATTTTAAACTATTGGCTCAAAATTCTAATACTGGCTCCTATAGGCTAGACTTTCAAGAAGTAGAGATCCCTTGTGAGGAAATCTAAAGTCAGACACATGTAGTGAAGTAATCTTGATCTTTATGTTATGTCTTAACTAAGGTTAGGAGCAACATAAACGTTTGAAGAAATCATAGATAAGTTAGAAAATAAAATTTATTCTCTCTCACAATACAAGCTCAAAAATTCATTTTACATTATATTTTTTGAAATTGATTGATGATAAGTTTTTTTAAAATTCCTAATGCACATTTAATCAAGATATGTGCTATTTTTTCATAAATTGCATCAAAAAATAAATTTTTTTATAAAAAAATATTATTATTTTATTCTTAAATCTACTAACTCAATTACAAAGTTCTAAGATTTTGAATTTTTTGACAATAAAAAAATGTTAAATAATATTACAAACCTACATTTCATATATTTATTTAGAAAATTATATATTTCATATTTTTTAAGTGATTTGAGACCTTGACTACTATCATTGAAGCATTTTTATTGTATATGGTTATATAATTTACATATGTATAAATTTTTAACTCAATCTCAATTTGTTGCATTATCTGTACTAGTAATTTTTTACTTGTATCTTTAGCTTCTTACACAATAATAAAATTGTTACTATATTTTTATCATACCTAGATAGGTATGATTGTTATTAAATTCTAGACCCAAAATTACATGTATGATTGTTATTAATTTCTTGACTCAACATTACTACAAGTGACTCATGCTCATTGGACGAAATATTTTTATGTACTTTCAGATGTACAATTTGCAATAATGCAGAGAGAAGATCTCATATGTGAGGAGTTTTGATATCTGTGGTAGTCAAGCAGTATAGAGTCAGATCTATACTTTGTTTGAGTTAAACAAGATACGTTTATAAATGTGTTGATTTGTAATTCTACTTGTGAGAAACTTTAAAACGTTGATGACATATGTTAATGAATGTACAGCGAATGAAATGTAGGTAAACAAGATACATTTACAAATGTGTTGATTTATGATTCTACTTGAGAGAAATTTCAAAACTTCGATGACACATGTTAATGAATGTAACGCTAATGAAGTGGAGGTAAACAAGATACGTTTATAAATGTGTTGATTTGTGATTCTACTTGTGAGAAACTTTAAAACGTTGATGACACATGTTAATGAATGTATGGCGAATGAAGTGTAACAATCAATAGCTCGAAGTACAAGAGTACACATGTAGTAAAACTCTTTGTTACTCCAACTTTGAATTCATTTTGAGATATGGATGCAAATTGTTAAACTGTGAGATTTTAATGCAAGTGATATCCATATTAGACAATACTTATCACTTTTTTCAAGTTTTTTTTTTTTTTCATTGACAACACCATATAATGTTTTAACTTATGGAAATTAATATCATACGCATGTGAGTAATCACATCATGTGAAATATCACCTGGTGATATTACTAATTGTAGACAATTTCATTTCAATAGTTAGGATACTGTAGATGTTATACATATGTTCATCTTGATACCATTCCCTATCCTCCTATGAGGTTTGATCCTTAGAAGACTTGATGAGTTGCCTTCATTTCTTTTCTATCCCCATGGCTACATTTTCAATCATCCTAGTGTTACATTGTCCTAGTTTCATCTCCCTATATTGAATTTGGAAAACTGCAAAATCTACAAAAATAGTTTGTCAGCGTTTCAATATGTTGCGGTATACCACACATGTTGGAGATCAAAATTTCTTGATAGTCAGCATTCAGAGCCAACGTAACTCCTCCATTTAGTACACTGCAGAACTTTGTCGGAAAAGTAACCTCGATTACGAAAAATGTGTGGGTCCAATGAACTTCTCATAATTTCCCACGCATGAGAAGTTCATTGGACCCACATTACGTGATTTGCGAACTGGAAGTGCACACATTGGCCTTCCTCGGTCATGGAGGAATCTCTACGGCTAGATGGAACCTGGCTGTAAGACTCCGCGCAAGTGTTTGTATAAGAAGCGGAACCTTAATCACTCCATCTTCCCACAAAACCCACATCTTTCAGGTTTTCTCGATCGAAGAGAGAATGAAAGAAAATAACTTCGTCAGAAGCAATCATGTCGGGAAAGATACATGTACAGCAGGACCTGATTACCAAAGGAACACTTGGAGAAAATCGGGAGAGGAAGCAAGGAAAGACCGTTCTCGCCGCCGAGCCAGAGGTCGTTCATGTAGTAGTATTGCCGGCCGTGAGATAGATTCAAAGTCAAGGCATATGCTTTCAGCAAGATCCCGTGAGAGAGGTGGATGTGGTTTGGACGTTGGTACATGTGCAGGTCTATCCGTCTGATTCCTGTTCAAGATCCACTCCTTTGTTTACGTCCAAGATTTTGGGAGGTGAGAAGCTCTGAGTAACACAATGCGCCATGGCATCACGTATCAGATTCCATGTGCTTTTAAATATTGGATGTGCGTGTGAATATTTGATGTGCATCTGTTGGATACAGCGAAGAAATGTGCATTGGATATTCGTCGTGACGACCCTCTCTTCGTATGAGGAAGAGATTGCGGTTCATATATGTCTACACATGACGAGTAACATCCAGCTGATTCCAAAAGCAAAAGAGTGGTGCAGGTCGCTTGAGGTAGAGTAAATTGGATGTCCTGTTGGGGCACATGGTGTTTTATGGAAGTCCACGACATATAGAAAATGTGACGACGTCTGACTGCTTGGATGTTCCGTGCTGGTACCCCTGAACACAAAGGAGTGATACAGAGAAGTGACACGGAACATCGTTGGGCAAGCTGTTCATGGAGTGGCGGAAGGGTGCCTGATGTACGCACGCTTTACACCAAGGGGAACCTTCAGCCTCGTGCGAAGCATTAGTTCGTGCAGGATTCATTCTTCTTCTCGCGGTATGGATATGGAACTCGGGGCTATGATCCCGGAACACAAAGAGAGTGAAGTGCTCAGACAGACAGATTGTGTGTGAACTCATAACATTTCCTTCAAGTGTGTAAAAGTGTATGAGAAGCAATCTCTGCTATCATCACGTGAATGTCATGCAGAAAGTACGCTAGAAGATAATACTATACACGAAAGCTATGTTCTATGATCGTACAACCTTTTTGAGCGAAACTTCAGTTTGGCTTTGAATTTGTGTAGAGCCACATGCCTACTGCATTTTACATTTATGTGGGTCATATCCAAATTGCTGGGCCTCCTTAGGAATTATTGGATCGTTCAATGCTTTTCTAAGCCAGATCACTGCATGCGTTGAATACGTTGAAACGAAGTCCATTCTCTTGTCGATCCTATCGAAGAACACAACCATGAGTTGTACAGATCCATTCGGCACCTCGTATGAACTTGGACTCCGCGGTGTTCCAATAGTCAACAGATTGTGCAGTGAAGAAGATTAGACCTTAGAAATCTCGCCAACACATCGACTCATCTGTGCGGAGAGTTCTATCCAATCTATCTTCTTGGGATCTTTCAAGCTTCCGTTTGGTCGAACTGAAGGTAACCAATCTTTTCACATGCGCTTAAAATTTCGTATCTGAAAGATTCTGCTGTGATAAGTTAGCTCGACCACGATGCTGAAGAGACCATGAGTATCTGACGGGTCACCTCCGTTGGCAGTGACACCAATTGTGTAGCAGTCCACAATCGCCATTGAGCTTCGTTTCCATTATTACGATTTTAGAGTTCGCAGAAGAACCTCATCCTCGCAGAAGACTTCATGAGATTAAAGTCAGCTTACAGATACTCTCAAGAAGTATCGTAAAGCTACCAAACTGGTAGCGTCCACGTATGGTTTAGTGCCACTGAGTAAAGGGGTCTCTCGTAATAAAGGCATGCTATAGTTACAGCAACAGGTTCCTTGTGCTTACACTATCTTCCATACCTGCGCAGACGAAGAAGAGGAATTGCAAGATACACATTGTAAAAGTATTGCTGCCGTTAGGTTGTTGTAAACCATCAGATCAAGATACACAACTAGTTTCCTTCGTTCGGCCTTCCTGAGATTCACTCTTAGACATTTAGGAAGACTCCAAAAGAGAAAACCGGAACTTGAGAATTTCAACCTCCTCTTGACGTCAGCATCGACACTCTTGTCTAAGAACACACATGCTTCACCCAAGCCAGACTTCAGATCAAACCAAGAACATGATTCTCCATAAAAGTTGCAACTTCCTCAGTCCCTAACTTCTTACGTACAGGTGTATGAAGACATATTTTCTTCCAGTGACGCACTGTATGATCTTACTACAACAAAGCGCCTTTGACCTTTTAACTCACGGACGCCTGTTACCGGCGGGGGTGAATACTACGGCAGTTCTGCGTGTGCGAGTACATTTCACAAAAAGCCAAGCCAATTGATCCGCTTCGAAAAGGGAATGAAGTGTGCAAAGAATTCAAAATAACCGCTGAAAATGATGTCAAGGCTTCCGGGGAGTACACACAACGACCTTACAGTGGGAGAGGTGAAATTGAAGAGCAAACTTCAGACCAACAGGCTTTCAATGAGGTCCAACAAGTTGTGATAGTGCAAACCGCGAAAGATTAATTCATCTCTCCATAATCTGGGGTCGATGTCTGGTCACGTGTGACAGAGAGTGCCCTTCGAATTTCTAAATCTGCAGGGCTGCGTGGCTAGTTTCGAAGTTTGAAGAGCAGACGACCTCTAGTGAGCGTTATCGTCTTGAGGTGTTGGGATCAGAAACTAGGACTAATCTACCATGTTATGAAAGAGTTCTTCAATCCGCTCGAGCTGAAAGAGATGCTCCAGAGGAACCAAAGTTTAAAAGTAGCAGTGAGTTTCAGCCTTAAAATGAATAGGCGTACCAAGAGGCATATCGTAGACTATCAAATAAAACAAAAGTTCCAATGAATGGGAGAACAAATGGCAAGGGACAACTATAGATCCAAAGGTTACGTTGGACGAACGTCGTATGCAATTGAAGATTTCGGATATGTATGACGCTTCCTCATCAACTGGCAATATGGAAGAATCTGGAAAAATCAACTGCATCGAGGCATCCCCTCCATTCTACAGAACATCTCTGCTACAGATTAAAAAATGTACAATGCGCTGCAATTTTAGCAGCAGCTGCAATAGCAGCTCGAGTGTTCCGCGAACGGGCTCTGAGTGGTCCTCAAGAGTAAAGGGACTGTTTTGTTAGAAGAAAAAGGCAGCTTGGTAAGTGCGACAAACTAGGACTGAGCGTACAACAGTATCTGACCTTGCTTGATGGTGACATCCTCCATGTGTCGGTTATATGAGGACGAGAGCAAGTGGTATTGACATGCGACGCGACAACTAGTTTCTCGATTCTCAGCCGGGTTGAGAAAACAAAATTATCTCTACTATAACTAAACATGGGCTATGTTATTGGGCACTTACGTGCTATCATTTTCCTCCAGCTAATTTTGCCTACTAGCGATGTAGTCGGCTAAGCCGAGCAAAGGTGCGCACTTTTTCTGGTCAAAGATTGAAAGCTCCCCTTTCGCCTTGTGAGTCAGTTCGGCAGCGAACTCTCTCGACTTCTCCAAACCTAAAAGTTTGGGGTATGTGGCCTTATCAACAAGAAGATCCTTTCCAGCGGTCTTGCCCAGCTCCTCAGAGGATTGAGTCACGTCCAATATATCATCAATCACTTGAAAGAGAAGACCAACATACCGCGCGTAGTTCGACAGTCTCACAATCTCCTCATCCGAAGCACCACCAATTATGGCTCCGCAAACTACAGCGCTCTCGAGCAAGCCCGCGGTTTTGTGCAAGTGAATGTATTCCAGAGTGTCGAGACCCACAGTGGGATCACCCTCGCTCATAATGTCAACAACTTGTCCCCCTACGAGTCCTTCGGCACCTACGGCCTTGCCCAGATTTGCTATCACTCGCACAATTCTCTCTGCCGGGACACCGCGAGTATCTCTCGCAATGTGCTCAAATGCGAAGGAAAGAAGCGCATCACCAGCCAGAACAGCTGTGTCCTCTCCAAATTTTTTGTGATTCGTCGGCACTCCTCGGCGCAAATCATCGTTGTCCATGCAGGGAAGGTCATCGTGGATAAGAGACATGGTGTGGATCATCTCCATGGCACAGGCGGTCGGCATTACAGCCTCTTGCTTACCACCCACCAGCTCACAAGCGGCAATGCAAAGCGCAGGGCGCACTCGTTTCCCTCCAGCGAGCAACGAGTAGCGCATGGACTCGGTGATTTTCTCGGGATACTGCAGAGGCACGGCCGAGTCCAGAGCTGAATTCACATCGACGGCCTTCCCTGTCATGTAGTCTTTGAAAACGAAAGGCCTGTCTTCGCCAGCTCGCTCCTCCACGATACTCGAAACCTCCTCGACCACTCGCGCGAAAACTTGAACAGGGGATTTTGCGCTAGACCTCGGCCCAGCTTTCGCAGGCATGAGCAAGGAATCGCTCTTCCGGGAAAACATCAAGGAAATTCCCGAACTCTTACTCTGGAGCGAGCGAACAGAGGTCGCCACGCCACACGCTCGGGGCTGCTGCGCTCCGCAGGCCATAGCACTAGCACCACCACCGACTCGGCCGCCTGCCCTGACCACTGGCGAGCTCCCAACAGCTGCCATCACGGGTACTGCTGCAACCCCGCTTCCCATTGACGCAGTTCGGCGTCCGACCTCGAGGAATTATCGGCAAATCAAGAATAAAATCTCTCGCTGCTCGTCCCCTCCCTCCTCGCTCCACAGCTCACCGAAGACGAGTCCAGCGTGCACCGGCCGCGCACAGAGTCGAGTTGCGTGACCCAATTCGCCACGACGAGCGCTCAAGCACTGGCTGGCCGTGCGAGTATTTCCATGCAGAGGGGCAGCGTCACGAGACCAGATAACGGGGCAACGGACCGTGCACCAGGTCGGCTGAAGCGGACTCCCCAACAAGAAGTCCCCGAAGATGAGTTCAGCGATATGGTAGGATGCAGAGCAGTCATGCCAGATAAGAGTCGGAGATCCCCGCTACGCGACAAATCGCCTCCATGCCCTTCGCTCCTCGCAACGACTCCGTCGGCAGTCGCGCTCGGCAGCACTTCCGGCCCTTCGGCCTTTTCAAGCCACGCCGTACTGCAATTCGGTGCATTCCACTCGATGATCCGATCTGTTGGCATTCACTCAAATTCCTCCCTTGCGCTTTTGCACGCGAGACGCTTTCGGAGACCGAAAACCACCCTATACCTGTTTCTTTCTCAATTGATGGTCGTGCATATTAGTTTATATAAATTTGAAACAACACGCACGTTAAGAGGAATATAAAACGTCAAATCTCCTCAATAACGACTGTCTTGAAGTAGATGTTCCAACAAAAATTTAGAGCATGACTATTGAACTAACATGTATGGGTGTAGTAATGAAGATTTAGATCTCTGAGTAATAATTTTTCAATCCAACTAAATACTTATAATTAAAGATTTATAGTGTGATATTTTTATCCTTATAGATGATTAACATATTTGAAAAAAAAAATTCCGATTATACATATTTGATCTACGATTTTGATTTTCTTCCAAAAAAAAATTTATTTTCTTTGCATCTCTATGAATTATGCTAGTTAATGTTTAACATTGTGTCCTTGATCTATTACTCAAATTATCTCCAAATCAATCATCTCAAAATGATTCATATCGAAATGAACAATGTTGATCCTACTAATATGCTGTATTACTGACGATTGTTAGAATAAACATGAGATTTCATTGTGTAAGAACTATGTCCGATATTTAACGTTTTATGGTTATCTTCTACAACTTGATGAATCTGAACTTTATTATTGGCTAAGTACAATGTGTGGTTTGCGCTTTTTGTCTATGATCATATAATAAAAGAGTCTATCCCATTATATCACTTTGTTTCTTGCCGATTATTGTTTTTCTTCTGTGAAAACCTCCTCTTTTTGTTCTCTAGCAATGCATAAATCAATACAATGTATATAAGATTCATTTTTTTAATTGAAATTTCTATATCATAAATTGTGAAATTTTTCTTTTAAATGATATTTTTTAATATTTTTGAAAATATAAGAATTTTTGTAATATCATTCATAAATATGATTTTTAAATTATTTAATTTTAAATAAAATTGAACAATTATTTATATTTAAAATATTTTTCTTATCAAATCTAGTTGGAATATTCATCTTTAATGAATGATCAAGTTTCAAATTTATCCATTCGATCAATATATTAGGTTTTTCTTCTTTCAGTAATCAAAAAATTTGTAAGAAGAAATAAGATTTTTTAAACCTGAATAATAATTTATATTAGAATAAAATTAAATAGATCATTTGAGTATTTAATTGTGAACATACTTGATTTACAAACGTAACTATCATGTTTAAAATTGATCCTTTCTGTATATTAGGATATGTTCAGTATGATATTGAGTTCATCTGATTTAAATAATTTAAAATTCAGCCAAGATTTTGACATATGTTGGCTTTGTTTATTAGATACTACTGTAAAATTTGAAAAATATGCCTGAAAATTCTCGTAGGTTAAACAATGTATCTCAAATTAAACATTAGAGTTGTCTTTGAGTTTCTCTTTGTGTCTATAAATATTTATTTATTTATTTATTTATTGGTGTTCATAGTGTGTTAATATTTTAAAGTGATATTTTGGTTAACTTTTGTTCATTACAAAAGCATGTTCTCTATTCACTTGAAAAGAGGTATCAGTTATGTTAAATTGAATAAATATTCGAATGTAGTAAGTCTAAAAAATAATTAAAGAGTACAACTTGCTGATAGAGATAAGACAGTGTGGTCTCCATTTATTACAAATTTTTTACTTTATCAGAATTCATTGCTTTGTTACTATATGAATTATTGAATATTGTTGAATCTGATATCTCAAAATAAAATTTCAAGCATCTTTTTGCTATTAAATATTGAAGGTTTTCAAAATTATATGACAATTATATATATCATAATAATTTAGCAAGTGATATGGTTTCTTTTCATTTCCAGGCTTTAAAATGACATTCTTTTCAAGTGATTGATTTTTTTTGAAAAAAATAAGTATTATGAGAGAAAATATTTTTGAAATTTTCTACTTCTTAAAGTATGGTGTAAATATTTTTTCCAAATTATTAACCACTATCTTATTTTTTGAAAAAACATATTGATTTTTCCAGTAGTTTCTTTTGCAATTATTTGATTATTACTGCAATCTAATTTTAAAAATTTTATTTAAATATTATTTCAATTTTTTCGATATATTAAATAATCTTATTTATATCATAGGATAAAAACTTGTAAATAAATGAAAAATTTCAGCAATGAAAAGTCAAGGGAAAAGAAAATATAGCATAAAACATGAATATTTTTTTTGTTATGAAACTTTATCTAATTAACTTAGCACTGCACTTTTTCTCCATAATAAAAAATACAAGGCTATAATGAGCTTACTTTATTTAGATCAAGGTATTCCAAAGTATGTAATGGCTAGTTCTCTAAGAATAGACAGTTATATTACTTTCATTAAACTACGATTGTATCCACTATTCTTGTATAAATTTGTCATCTTGTCAAAGCTGTATAAATTTCAAGCGGCTATTGTGGGAAGCAGCAGCCATCTTTGATTAAGGACGGAAAGCTCCATAAAGTGATAATTTGTCATATTGGTTCTGTATTGTGGGGGGAACGCTTAGAGTTTCAACTGAGTTCCTCCTCGTTTTATGTATGACTTGCAAATATTACTTCGTTACAGTTGGTATTACATTTAGTCATCTTGGTGATATTTGAAGAGCTGAGTGTCCTTGAAGCCAAAGAGTTGCCTGATGAATAATTTAACTCATCTAAAAATTGCTATTTGGATGAGAATTGTGGTTGTAAGTTTGATAATATAAGGAAAATATTATATATAATATAAAAAAATGTATAAGAAAATGTTTTTCGGTTAAATAACACACGTGTAATTTTATTCATGTATTATAACACATTTCTAATACTTGTCCAATGATTCTTATTTTTCCAACTCAATGATTGAAAAGAACGTTGTAGATGCGCACGTAGTCGAAAGTTGTCTTGTAGGTACAAAAGTATGGTATGATGTAGGATGCTAGCACTTCCCAACTGGACAAAATTATCCAACTTGACTAATCAGAATGCAGGAGAAAAAGATTAAGAAAATCCTGTCGTTAGGTATATCATATATAAAGCAAGATTCTTAACCACGAAGACTTGACGGGAAATTAAACTGTTAACGAAATTACACTTCATTACGTTGACAGTAGAGCTCACGCGTCAGGGGCTAATTCACTGCCATAGCCGAGTCGTCTCCACCAATTGTCTCTGCCCACCCTAGTACACAATGACAAACATAATTTGATCCTAATAAGTCAAATACAATACAAGTCAACAACATATTTGAACATCAAAAATCATTGGAAATTTAATTAAGCAATTTCCACGCATTTCCAAAATTTCACAATTATCAAGGCTACACATATAATCATACGAACATACACAGGTCTTCAGGAAAGTCAAGTGGTGCGTCACTGGCTGTACAATATACAAAGTTACTAGCTGGTTATTACCAACCGACGGTCTGTGAACTCTCTCTTGACCCAAAAGAATTTCCATTTCTGTGTAAAACCGAACATGAAGATATTTGGAAAACATGGAAAAACTATACTATTGCCATCGTTATTTTCTCCAATCAAGTTTTCCTCCTAGTTCCCATGCTTTAGAGCATTTAACCGAAAATTTTGTTAAACTTTCACCATGCAACTTTATTTTAACTAGACTAAGACCATGTACAAAATCTGTTAGTGTTTTGTTCTTATTGTACATTCCGCATAGTTTTTGACATATAGCTAAATTGATGCTTTGGAAGATATTTATTTGCCGTGATTCATTTATGAAGCTATTCTGTCTACCACTTTGTGAATGATACATACATGATGGGTCATATACATCACATTTTACTACAGAGCTTCACGTTTTAGAATCTAGAATCAAGTTATCAATGTGAAATGCACGACATTTTGAATTCTTATTTATCATCACTAGTTTCTATATGGATGAATGGCATTAAAGGAAGACTTGCACATATAAGAATAAATTTGGCAGTGTCTGTCACAATATATGTTGAAGCTGCATTTATAGCATTGTAAGTAAAATTGCATCTATATAATAAAATTATAAGATTCATCTACAATTTTCGCACTTTTATTCTTTCATCTAAATTCTTATCTCATTTCACTAAACTTATATATTATGATCAAATATTTATGTATTTGCCAAAATCTTTGTAAGTGTGTGACAATAAATTGGGCACACAAATAAACATTAATTGCATTCACGTCAAAAAATAAATAAATTTAAACTGATAAAAAAATATGAAAAGAGAAAAATCAATATCACATATGACGTAAAGAACTAGCTAGAGTAAAGTCATGTACAAGAAAAATCATGCTAATTATGTGTTTCAGTATGTTATGTTGTTTCGTAAAGTCTTTTGCTTTATATATATATATATATATATATATATATTCAAAGTATCAACTGCAGCAACTGTTTCTTATTGTGATACTATCGGTCCCATCTGAACTGCTTTGCTTCAACCCTATACAACTAGATGGGGTTCTTCCCATTCTTTTTTGCTATATCACTCAGTGCCATAGGACATACAAATTCGCATTAAATTCTTCGGGTGCCCCTTTTAAACCGCGGAATTCTCCTACAGATTCAGTCCTGCGCGCTGCTGTCCAATAGAGTTCTCGGCCCACGATGCCCACAACTGATCGCTTCGTATCTTCAAAAATACTATATGGCTGTCCGAATTCAATTAACATGTGAAAGAGATATCCTTGACCAATATATTTATAGACACTTTTTTGCCCATAACGTATTCTAATGTTTTGACTGAAAGCTAGCTAAACGAACTTTTTTTGGAAGAACTTCGTAAATCAATTTACTTTTTACTCGATTGTATGCTGAATGACTTGTTTCACACACGTTTGAATTCCTCCCAGGTCAGACACTCGTGCATGAAGTAAAGTGAACTACCACCACACTAGCGGTAACATGCGAGGATGCGCAGAGGATGTTCGATTTCCGCTCAAATTCCCTTTGTGACTTC